CCCACCGGTCTCACATAACTATTACGCCGTGCCTTCGTTATTGCAACTCCGTAATTAATCAACTAGCTGCTGCTATAACGAGCGAACTGCAGTTCTTTGTTTCCGACGCCATAAATTACTACATTCGTGGAGAGAAGGAGAGTCAAAGAAAGTTACGAGTAAACATTCCATTTTCTCCGGGAGCACTACTTCATTCGGAGCCGGCAACGTATCGCTTCAGCTTCCGCTTGTTGCCGTTCAACGGCAACGAGGAGTTCCGAGCTGAGTAAGCGAGTCGCGTCACCGGCAAAGGGCCAAGGCACGGCCGTACCTTCGCAGCGACGCTGCAACGGCTGGAATGAGAATGCGAGGCCGTCCGTGAGGGCCGCGCGTGAAAAATAAGTTGTGCCGAGGAACAATTAAGGAAATGACAGCCGTAAATTTCGGCGGATCGCGGCCGCCTTTTAAGAGCGTCTCCTCTCGCGAGAACGACGAAATTGCTTCCATCAATCCGCCAGCCGGGACAAATTAAGGAAGCATTGGCAAGCCACCCCCGTTTCGCCCCTTTGTCTCCCCGCTTGGAGTACACCCCTGCCGCTTTAATGACATTTTTATAGGAGTCCAGTGGGCCGACATTGCGGCAGCGGATCTGGAAAATTATCGGGGGATTATCGTGAGAATTAAGAATTATGCGCGTTTTAAAGGGCTCGCGGCGGTGTCAACGAAGAACTGTCGAAACATGTTATTTAGGATGTTCGAGAAAGTGGTGATGAGCGCGCACTGGGAATATCTTGCTTCGATTTTTAACGACGCTTTCGCGACACCAATGGCCGACGTCTCACATAGAAATTTTCCCCGATTATCCCACAGCCGAAATTTCGATTAGAAGGCCCGAGGTTGTTCTGAGATAGGTAATCTTACGTAAAGAAAGTTCACGTGAGAAGTTCAGTGGGATTGCAGGTCGCGAGAGGTTGCGTTTATAGCGTCTGGAAAATATCGACTAGCCGTTAGAGAATAATTCATTATCCTCGCTTGCGAATTCATCGACGCGATCAGTCGCTGCCGGTCGGATTTCTCCTATCCGAGTCTCCTCAAGATTCCAGATCGCTTCGCGACGATACACCCCTCCCTCGACAGACGCCGCGCTTCTTGTCCCTCAGCCGAAAGTTCCTCCCGGCTTAAATGCAAATTACATATCCATTAAGAGGCAATTCAACGGCACGCGCTTCGATAATCTCCCTTTTTATTAACAAAATCTCATTTCCGAGGGGGAGGAAGACGACGGTGTGTAATAAGCGGACGACGTCGATATCTCCCGGTCTCCTAGCCTAATTGTCTTTTAAATGTTTAGTCATGAAAGGAACATTAACCGGCGCGGTTGATAACGGACCCTCCTCCACAGAGTCCTCGCCGTCGTTGTATCGCCTCCTCAAGAATTCCGACTTGGTGTCACTAATTAATACAGCGACGGCGGGAGTGGGCGGGGAGGGGCGGGGGTAAATGCGCCTCGTTACCAAACAGGTGGTACCCGACGGCTAATGACCCGGGGATACCAATAATTCATTGATTAATGCCGCGTGCTGAATTAGCAAGTCCAGTTATCCCCTATTTTCCGCTCCCCGGCAGTAACAATTATCAAGCACTCCACGCTTTCGCGATTACGCTCCGCTCGCGTTCTATGTGTTGCAACGAGAGAAACGCAAACAACAATTAAAACTTATATTTCCATTTTGTGCGCCGCTCGCTCGCGCGTCATTGCCACTTTCCGCGTTGAATCGTGCTATTTAAATCGGCGAGCGGATTTTTAAGGGGATGCTGGAGCGACGGCTGAACCTCCGACGGGAAAGCGCTCTCATCTAAGCGGAAGTAAAAATGTCGGTAATTTATTGACATTTCAAACGCGATGCGGGAGCAAGTGAGTTTTAAATGAGCGTGCGAAAGGATACAGAATTGTATGGGGAAGTGCGTTGAAATGAGAGGGAGAAAATGATACGAGAGAGAGAGAGAGAGAGAGAGAGAGAGAAAAAAGAGAATTATACACCACCGCTGTTCTACTTACCATCCTGCATCTACGTTACGCGCGTACAGTCGCATAAAACTCCCTCGATCTTCACCTTATCTTTTTGTTGGATTTTTAATTTTACTTTTATTTATGCACCGTTGTTCTTTAATGTAGTCCAAAGTGCAGCCATCTTGTACACACAAACTGTAGAACTTTTGTATCAAGCGAGTGTTTCCATGCGAGTTGACGCACCAAATAGTGCAACACTATGTACACTTCTTGAATTTATTTCTCATTCTCAGCCTTCATTCTGTTAGTCTTCGGATTACCATTCAGCATTTTGTATATGTGTGTGTACTTTACATTTGTAAAGGGGATTTAAATCTTGTAAAGCCATTTCGGAGAATGGTGGGATTAGTAATATCGGTAATTACCGTCCAAGGAACATTAAGACGTTCGAAAACGTCTCAAAAACGTCTTCAAGATACTAAGGCGTCTAAGCGATGTCTTCGAGACGTCTCTTAGATATACATATTGTGTGGGATTACTACAGCATCCCCTTAAGGCGAGTTTCGGATGTCCTCTTCACGCCGCTCGCGTTTCAACGACAAATAAGTCGCGCGATGCTCGTAGCTAACATTCTATGTCACGTTGATCTTTTTACTATTTTTTTCTTCATTCATATTTATATGGTCACAAAAAAGTTGCAATACTTATTCTTGATAAGTTTCGCAACGCATCTTGTATCCAGCAGGAAAATGTATCTCCTGAAAATTGTGAAGAAACAAATTATCCTATTGAATGCGGGTTGCGTAGTGGAATTTATAAAAAAAAAAAAGTTTTGCAACCTTTTCGTAGCTGAGACCATACGCGTTGTGTTGATTCACGAGTTGGACGCGAGAGCAGGAGGCGATCGACGGAAAGAAAATCGCAATTGCAACCGATCGCAAGAGCACTACTTCGGCTAATACGTGCTCTATCCTCTTTCCCGTCGCGAATTTCACGCGATCCATCGCCGTCGTGGATTCCGACGCGGCGGAGAGGTGGTGGGTACGCATTTAGCCTCGCGCTTCGCGTATCGTGAACTCCGCGTGTCGTGGATTTATCGAAGCCCGCTCGCTCGCTCGCGGGCGAGTAACCGCCGAACATTACGAAGCCTTCAGAGCGGACTGGATGAAACAGCGTATAATTAGATAAGGTGTAAGACGTATTTGGAGCGCGGCCATGCTGGCTCGCCGCCAGTGTTGAGCCTTTTGCTAGAAACCTACGAAAAGGGTCAAGGGAGTGTCCCTGGTGGGAAATGTGTGTATGGGGGGGAGGGGCTTCACATTAGTCGCACTAATCGTGTGGCATGCGGTGAGATTGGATAATTTTTCGATGACGATTGAGGAGAAAAATCGCAGGAGAAGAGAACTGGCGAGAACGTTTCTTTTCCCTCCTCGTTGTTCGGCGCGTAAGAACTTCACGGAGACGCGACCTCTCGTCTCGCGCCAAACGCGTGCGGCGACACGAGGCCGACCGCGTGTATATTTACGCGACCCGGCCGCGTATTGATAGTACCTGAAAATATCGTATCCTAATAACGTCCGGACTGATCGAGTTCCTCATAGGCTCAGTCGATGACTTATGCAACGAGCCTCATTTATGCTCTACATAGAGAAAAAGCACGAAAACCGACGCATCATTCGGGCTCTGAAGCACCGTTGAAGGTGAGAAATTCACATTTATGTGCACAGTGATGCAAATCAGTAACATTTCTCTACGAAAATACATAGAGTGTTCGTCGCTAAGGATCGATAAAAATCCGAAGGCGTTCGTTTTGGCCCGTCGTCGGACGTGTTTCTGTTATTCGAATTATCGTCGGTCTCGTTATCGCTGACGTTTTCAAGGCAACTTTGTCATTATTTATTCGCATCGACGCGTGATCGGAGAAGCTCGTCAGAAACAGCTGCACAATGTGTAGAATTAGCTGTCGTCAGAGAGCCGGGTCGTGCTAAGCTGAAGCTTTACTTTGGGCGCACGCACCGCGTTTATCAGGCTACGAGGATTACGCCCCGAAGTGTCGACTCGCGTTGTTATCTACTAATTCCAATTAGCGTCAGCGATCTTCCGGCTCGCCTTTAGCCCTAACTTCGCCCGACAGATGCCTGCTCGACGGGATAATTTAGGTTTTCGTCGCGATGCCGTATCTCGTCGGCCGGGAGACACGTCGTCGTTCCGCTCACGCAGGAACGTCTTCGTGAAAAATGACGAGAGCGCGCCTAACGCGATAAGCCCGAGATTTCGTGCGTATAAACGCGAATAAAGCGGAAGAAAGGATATTGCAAAGTCAGAATGTCTCGCACCAATTTCGTTGGATGCTTAATGCGGAACGCGTTCGCTGAAGATAGGCAGCGAGCCGAGTTGAAATGTAATTAGTCGACCTGAGCCGATATAAATATTTATTCGATTCAAGTAAAATTTACCGAATTCAAGTGAAAATTTGCTAAGGAGTATTGGAGTAATTGTTTTCTTGAATCTAATACTTTTTTCTATATATCCGCTATTAGCGTTTGAAAATGATATAGCAATTAAAAATTGAGAATACGTTATTTCATAAAAATTTTAAGAAAGCAGAGGATGAGCATTACCTGGCAACTAATCGTGATTTTTCATCCCGTAAATGTAATTTCTCTTCTTCAACCATCAGAGCTAATTTATTTATCTGGTCACTAGGAGAAACGAGCATTGCATCATTAGCTGACAACGACGTTAGACACAAATTTAATATTTCATGGCTGGACACTAACGACCCGGATCGAAGTTTTAGTCCTACTTTAAGTCTAATTTAGCAGTTCTACATTAACTGTTCAAAGATCTTCTATCGTGCTCCTTTGATGCTACAAGTGGGGAACTTCCGTTTTCTCCACTTGAAGACTTAAATGTAAAATTAAAAATTTCGACTCGGGGAGATTCAGTTTTTATTAAAGAACTTGTCGTCGTGCGCGACGCTAGTAACCGGATTATCGTATTGTTTCAGAGAGCCTTAGGGAGTATTTCACCAAGTATGGAGACATCACAGAAGTCATGGTCATGAAAGATCCTACCACGCGACGATCAAGGTGAGCGTTAATATATATGCGTTACATATTATAATATTATCACGCTATTTAATACCGTTCCATCGGTTTCGCCTTCGCAACCTCGTTATTCCCGTTTCTCGACTGTTCTATCCGCGTAACTAGAGGATGACCTATATCCTTCGGAAATGTCAATTTGCCACACGTCGATTGCGAGAGCGCCGGGTCGTATTTTACAGGTGGGAAATCCAACGTAAGAGCTCGGTCGTCCGCACGTAGAAAAATTCGCGGCTCCGCAGCGGCGTGTCAATCTTTCGGGAATTATCGTCGAATTTTTCCTTTCGGGCGTTAATCACGCGAAAAATATTGCGATATGATTGACACGCCGAAGTTGGCCTCGCTAAAAATAAGCGCGCCGATCGCCAGCTCGGCGAATTCGATCCTCGGCATTCTTCTCGTGTTTCCCTCAATCTCGGGGTGCGAGAAAGAAAATGAACAAAAAAACCAAACTATTATGAGTAAAAACTCTAGCTAGATGAAAGTCATGCAACGAGGCTGCGGTGAAGTTATAATTTCCATCTACGACGATAATAAGTCAAGATTATGATAATAATATGGTAATGGCGTTTTTGATAATACGATAACCATCGCAGAGAGAGAGTGAGAGAGAGAGAGAGAGAGAGAGTGTGAGAGAGAGAGTTGTAATCATTCGAGGTTGATAGCAATAACGATAATAATAATAGTTAAAGTTATAATAACTTTTTGAACGAGACATAGTTATAACGAAATTATGCAAATTGCAAAAGGTTTCGAGTTTCACGAGTGTACTGTAAGGCGCGCCTGCGCTTACACTAGCTCGCACACGTTGTGCCTTTTGATACTTACCGCATAATTAATTCGTCGCTCTATCCGCATTGAGAGAGAACTAATGCGCGGTTTAATGCAGTGACACATAATATCATGCGAAGATCGAGTTGCGCGTCGAGTGTCGCCGCATTCAGCAGAAAACACCGTAACGCCATGGCGGATGGTAAATGCCAGAGCGCAGTAATTACCGGTTTTTAAGCGGAGGAAACGAGGGGCGAGTCTCCGGCGGGACGAGTACGACGACGAAGGTCGGGAAAGAAGAGGAACCGGCGCGCGTGGGTGGGTGGGNTATACAGTTCTGGTGTGAAAAGGGGAGCACGTGCGTCTTATCGCCCATCAAACGTAAAGCTGACGGTGTTTTATTAAGATCAGCGCGGACTAGGCGTGACTCCTCAATACTTAGCGATATCGTCGCTGCGGGCCAACGCGGGGATGTTCTCGAAATTACGTGCGCTTAAGTGAATACTACGCCGTTTTAGCATCGAAAGAAGTCGTTGAAGGTAACGTTAAAATCTGTAGAATTAAAGATTCAAGAGAAAAGTGAAAAAATAATAGTATCGTCAGAGTAGATTTTTACTAGGGCTGTCTAAGTAGGCGCGAACTGTCTTTAACAGCATCAAAATCTCGACTCAGGCGGTATTCCTCCTTCGAAGGCATTGAAATTGTGCTCTAAACATTTCTCATATCATTAAAAACATTTATTTATTTATTTGTGTCTTCTTCTCATTTCTAACCGGATTTCACTTCCATTCGTTCTTCTTAATTTGAAATTCTATAAGTTTCATCTGCATAGAGTGAGAAGGAGAAGGAGAGAGAGAAAGAGAGAGCGAACGTGTGGACCTTTCATAATGGTATTCAAGTCGCTAATACCCGCCATTATCAACCGATGCCTTTATGCTATAAAAGCGCGCCGTCAAAACGTTTGTGCAGCGATAATCGCAGTCGAATTGTCGCTGTTTAAATTGCCGTCCCTGACGCTTATGCGCCCGTTACCTCTCGTACCGTGCATTTCTCCGTCTAATTAATTGGCCAGAAACTTTCGGGCCGTGCCCGCCAACCTTCCCTAATTATTCGTTCCTTTCATTCCCGCGGGAAAGAGAGGGAGAGTGCCACGGGGCAGGGGGGATGGGTGCACGCGGGGATGTCGGGGTCGAGAAGGAACTGCCGGACAACAAAACGAAACAGGGGACAACTTACTTCCATCGAGTTACAAAGCACAAGCAACAGCCGGGCCTATTCGCACCCGCTTATTAAGCGAAAATAAAGCCCGCAAAATCAAAGAGCGTTCCCCATTCTCCTTTCAGCTTCTAGCATTCATTCGCGACTTTCTCTCTCTCTCTCTCTCTCTCTCTTTCTCCGTGTCTGTCCTTTCTCTCAATCTTCGCAGATCCCACTTCTCTGCCGCGTCTCCTTCCTTCCTTTAGTGTCCTAGATAGTTTGAAGTCCACTGACAATTAGGAGTTTTGTCTTCCACCTCCTACCACCGGGCAGCTCGTTATGAACAGGTCGGTACGAGTCTGTCTCGCCGACGAAAAAGTCGAAGATCGAGATTGCAGCCCGAGAACGAGCACAGAAGCCGGCTTTATTCAGGGACGCGGAATTAACGCGCAGGACGATTAACGAAGGTTGTTGCTTTTTACGAAGTTGCTCCCTTCAGCGCGATAGTCGAGCAAGAAGGTTGAAGTTGAGTCCGTCCATTATAGAGAATCCTCCCGATAAATTGATTATCCATCTATCTATCTGTATCCGTTCATCACCGTGATAAAAAGCCAAGAACCCAAATAACAATTCGTCGGTCGAAATCTATCCCGTCATAACTCCGGAACATCCGCCGGGTTACCGGCGGAGATTGACCGCGCCAGACGTGCCCCGTCCGTCTGTCGATAGATTTAAATTTCTTTCGCCGTGGCTTCCACGACGGCGTGGAAACGAGCTGGCGGAACGAGGAGAAGCTCCTCAGGCGGGCGGGTGGAGGTCGCTTAAGGGACGGCGAGGAGGGGCCGCGCGACGGAGACGACGAACGGAGGAGACAGGCCGGTGAGATAGAAGGGACCGTCCGGGTGCCGGGGCTGCTGAATCCCTCAGCGCCACGTCGTAGCTCATATCTGCCGCAAGGGGACGCGGATCCTGTATGCAGGGGTTGAGGCATGGGGTTACTCTGCGGGTTGTAAATTAATGGTTAGCCCGTGGCATGGTGGGGTTCGGCCTAAGGGTTCTGGTTGATCTATGGGCGGCATGTGTGCCAGGTCAAACGGGGCTTGCCCACTGATACGGGAGCTCTCTCTCTCTCTCACATACTATCTCGTTCCCTCTCGCTCTCGTTTGGTCGCTCTCTTTCCTTCGGAGAGCACGAGAGTGCAAAATCGATAACGGTTTCGATAGAGCCACCGGCCATATTTCTGAACTTAGCGAGCGCTCGAAGCAGCGGGAGAGCGGAGTATAATTCGACGACTTAACTTAAATCTGTCTTCGGGACGCGCGACCGGTGCGTGTATCTACGATCTTAAGTGGTGTCGTTAAAGCGACGTTACTTTATTCGCGGGGGCGATCGATCCGTGTTCTACGTCTGAACACGCGACGATTCTGTCTCTCTTCGCCGCGAAATTGCGAGGAGCGATGTCGGTTATTTCGGGTTAAATAAGATTTCGCGATTTCGAGAGAGGAAGATTCACGGGTCCCGTTCGAAGATGTATCAGTTTCGCTTTCTCCTACATTTTCCGGCCTCGCAACGACGTCGTTTCAGCTTCGGCTAACTCGAAAGCTCTTTACGCGCCGGCCGAGATCCTCGTACGCGTGATCGGCACCGTCCGCCGAGTTAACGGCCATCGCATTTGCGTTTAGCTCCCGTACGCGCGTCCTTAGATTGTAAAAATAATGCGATGTAGTCGATTCAATCGCCCTTTTACGAGTTTCCCGAGCGCTCGTAATAACAATACGATATCCCAGCCCACGATCGATGTATAATGGCGGATATTCGAATGCAGTTAACTTTAGTACTCGTGGAATCGTGCCTGCGAAGGAGGCCAGCGACGTGCCTCGCAAGATCGATACTCCGCTTCCCCTTATCTCGGCCCCTTCTCTTATTGACCATTCCTGACGTTTTGTTTCCACGTGGTATTTGAGTTAATCGCGAATCGCAAACCGAGCGAATAGCGAGCCGCTCTCCGTTCTGCTGCGGCCGCGCTTCCACGAATCAATCGCGAGATTCGCTCCTCAAACCCTTCACCTGTGTGTGCCCGCATAGAAATTATCTCAGTTTTCTCCATACATGGCCGACGATTCCGACGATTTTCTCACTTCGACTGTCACTTTTCTCCGACGATAAGCCTGACCTAGCCACGCGACGTCCGAGAGAGCGCGTTCTGAGCAGGCGAAGAGTGAAATTAACAAGGCACTCGCTCTTGAATTCGACGGTTTCGCGAGCGAAAGCAGCGCAAACAACCCGCTGTCCAGGTGGGCGCGCGACCATTATTCCTCGTTAAACGAATCGAAATCCTCACATTTCTGGCGGTTCTGCTTCTTTCGGAGGAACGGCGGGCTCTCTCCTATCGACAGTCTCATTTCCCGCCGCGGGAACTTATCAAGACAAATACATGGCGAGCACGCTCCCTCGGTTGCCTCTCGCCGTCGGAAAATATCTCTAATGAACAAACTATCCGATTTGATACCCGCGCTACACACTTTCACACAACCATACCCGCACTTGCACACCTACACCATCCAAGCGCGCCTCCTTCTCGCCAGTGCTGCTGCCTCTCTCGCGAGGCGGCTACAGTCTTCGATAACCAATCTCAATTTCGCCACGATATATCTGTTATACGCGGCCCCGAGATTTCATTGAGACTCTTCGCGCTCCCTTTCTGCTCCCCTCTCTCGGAAACAACCCGACACCGACGCGGTGTACCGTCTACACTTGCCGGTCGAAGCTCGTCGACACTAAATCATACGGGGAACGTTGCCAGATTGCGTTAAGGATTGTAGCGCAACATCGAAGTAGATGTTGGAAACTGGATCTTTCTCTCTTTCTCTCTTTTTTCTCTTTCCTTTTTCAAGAATCAGCTGCCCGCGTCGAATTATAAAAGAGAGAGAGAGAGAGAGAGAGAGGGGGGTTTCCCCTCCCGGCGCGCGACGAACGTAGATCAATTAATTGGACCCCCCCTCCTTCTGCTTTTCTT